AACAGTGGCGGAAATCCTTCGGCCAATCAAAAGCCAAAAAACGGGACTCGCCAGTAATTGCGGATCTAGCTGGCGAAAAAGAAAAGATCCGAAAGCGGCCGCGGACTTCCGGAAAAGTCAACTTCGACGCAGCTGATTCGACGCGAACATGAGAAAATGATGGGGAAAAATTTCCACTCCACGACCAGTCTTTGCCAGAGGAATTTGCCGAGGAAAAATCTAACTCCGCGAAAAAGGACTCTGCCGAGACAGGGAAACTCCTTGAAGACCCAAGAAATTATAAGGATTCGTTAAAGCTATCCTATAAATATGCTATAATGAAAACTTGTAATTCTCGAGGGGCTAGAGCCTTGGAGAAATTACGGGAGGGACTCCAAAAGAAGCAGAAAATTGTGGAGATCATACCGGTACCGGAGAACTTGGGGACCAAATTAAGGAGTGTGGAAAGAAGTCGACCTTTCCATGGAGTCAACGTCCTCTCCCGACACCAGCCCACAGCGACTACCCGTTCCCCAGGGAAGACGTCCGTGGAGCTGAAGCAGCTCCAAAGGAAGCTGAAGTTCTACAAGAAGCTGCAAAAACCCCAAACTCCTTCTTCGGATGCATCCAGCTCGGCAACTTCGTCAACGACCCGAACAGTCGTCACGGAAACTCCGGGCCCAGGAGAAGAGCCTTTCTCCAAGCAGCCTCGGCCAGCTGCCAGCTCAGGAGTAGAAAACAATGAATATTGGGATGTACCCTATGACCCTATCAATGAAACTATCTTTGGGTACTCCGAGCAACGCTTGCCCCTCGTGCTCGAGGTCATCTGCAAAGGACGACGCCTCCAAGCACTCGTGGACAGCAGAGCATCGCACACCGTATGCGATAAGGCAATTATTGACCGACTTTGAGAAGAGTACAAGCCATCAACGTTTTCTGCAATGATGGTGGACGGCAGCAAGTTACCAGTATACAGCGAAGCAGTGCTACACCTATAAATCGGGCCACTGCGCTGGAAACCTGCACTCCCCATCACCAACATCAAAGGGCTTGACCTGATCTTCGGGCGAGACTTCCTAAAACGATTCAACCCCGAGATCAACTGGGTAAACCGCACCGCAAGCATCTACAACAAAGGAAGGAGAGTCCAGCTACCCAACTGGGATGATACAGGAGATATCCCAGTGGAGACACTCGCCAGATTTGAGAAGGACGTTAAGCGAACCAACACCGGATTCCTGGCAATAGCAACAGAGGTGGAAACCGACAGAGAGAAGTCCTCGGAACCTCCAGGAAAAATCAAGGAATTACTAAAGGAGTTCCAAGACATTCTCCCCGACGACCTCCCGGACGAACTACCACCATACCGAACGCACCAACACGAGATCACGGAGGAACCAGGTTCGAAGCCAACCTTCCGAGCACCATATCGGCTCAGCCCCACCAAGCTAGCCGACATGAAAAAGCAAATTGAGTATCTCCTCGCCAAAGGACTCATCCAACCATCCACTTCGCCATACGGTGCCCCAGTACTCTTCACACCAAAACCGGACGGAAGCCTGCGCATGTGCATCGACTACCGAGCTCTCAACAAGCAGACCATCAAGAACAAGTACCCGATTCCATGAATCGATGATCTGCTCGACCAGCTTTGGGGAGCCACGGTATTTTCAAAATTAGATCTGCGTTCCGGATACTGGCGGATAAGAATGGCGGACGATTCCGTTCACAAAACGGCCTTCCGAGCTCGGTACGGATTGTACGAGTATCTGGTGATGCCGTTCGGACTCACCAACGCACCTGCAACGTTCCAAGCAGAGATGAATCACATCCTACGCCCACTCTTGGACGAATGCGTGGTGGTGTACCTGGACGACATTCTCATCTACTCGCGCGACATGCAACAACACATCGAACACTTACGACGCGTCTTCGAGATTCTTCGACGAGAACGCTTCTACGTCAAACTATCCAAGAGCGACTTCGCCCTCGAGAAAGTCCAATTTCTCGGACATATCGTAAGCGCTCAAGGAGTTCACGTCGACCCCAAGAAGATCGAAGCCGTGCGTACGTGGAAGACACCCGAGAATGTGAAGGAGTTACAGCAGTTCCTTGGCTTTGCTAACTACAACATCAGGTTTGTGCCACAATACGTGAAAATCGCCGCGCCACTCACGAATTAGCTGAAAAAGAACACGCCCTACAAATGGGAGCCGAAACACCAGGAAGCCGTGGAGCAGCTGAAGCATGCACTCACGTCCGCACCCCGTACTCATCTTGCCAAACCCCGAACGCGACTACGTCATCGAAGCTGACGCCAGCGACCAGGCAGTGGGAGCAGTTTTGATGCAAGACCAGGGGAATGGACTGCAACCAATCGCCTACCTCAGCAAGAAACTACATGGGGCAGAACTCAACTACCCGATACACGACAAGGAGGCCCTGGCTATCATCATTGCCTTCAAAACGTGGAGATGCTATCTCGAAGGACGCAAGACGACAGTCTACACCGACCATTGCAGCCTAAAATATTTGAAGACACAACCAAGCCTCTACAGGCGACAAGTTCGGTGGATCGACTTCCTCGAGACACACTTCCACTACGACATCGTGTACAAGCCCGGCCATAAAAACAAAGCTGATGCGCTTAGCCGACCTGCACACGTTGCCGCGATCCAAGTTGAAGGGATGAATCCACTCCTCAAGGGACTCTTCACACACGGGTACACCATCGACCCCGAAATTCCCTTGGCAGAAAAGCGACATCTGCTCCTGTGGGACAACGACATCGTGTACCGGAAGGGATCAACGAAGATCTGGGTACCTAATTACCCTCCATTGTGCCAATTACTACTCGAAGAATACCACGACGTCCTGTACGCAGGACACATCGGTAGCAACAAGACGCTCACCGGTATCGCTAAACACTACTACAGGCCCCACATGGCAGATGACGTACAGAAATTCGTCACCTCGTGCACGACATGTCAGCGGGTGAAGAGCAGCAAGCAGAAAAGGGTGGGTCTACTACAGCCTCTTCCTGTTCCAGAACAGCCATGGCAAGTGGTCAGCCTAGACTTCATCACCGGGCTACCAACTACCACAAGTGGTCATGACGTGATCCTTGTCGTCATTGACAAGTTCTCCAAAATGGGACACTTAATCCCGACACACACGACAGCACGCACCGAGGAGATGGCACAACTCTTTGTTTGCTACATCATCTCACAACATGGCATTCCGACCACACTCATCTCCGACTGAGACCCTAAGTTCACCAGTAAATTCTGGAAAGAACTGATGTCTCTGCTCGGGACCAAACTCGCCATGTCATCCGCCTACCATCCGCAGACAGATGGACAGACCGAGCGCCTCAACCAAATTGTGGAGCAACTCCACCGCGCAGCCTGCAAGGAAATCTCCAAATGGGACTTGCATCTGCCCGTCCTGGAGTTTGCCTACAACAATGCTACTCTCGCCGCTACAGGACAGACGCCGTTCTTCCTCTATTAAGGACGCCACCCACTCACACCTCAACAGCCAACCATACTGTTGGTGCAACCTTATGGCTTGCACTCGGCTTGTCGTCCTTGTTTGTGTGTGTGCATGCATGGCATGGAATGAATTGTGAGTCTATGTCATTGCTATCCAGTGCTTGTGTGTGTGTTTGAATGGTGTATCACAATGTGGTTTGTGTCGGTCAAGACATTAGCGAGTTTTTACAACTCGCATGTCAAGTCGTCGTTTGTGTGTCGCATGTGTTTTTTCTATTTTTTCGAGTGTGAAGTGTCCATCGTGTCGCAGGTGTGTGCAGCAAGCCCCCATCAACTCAAGAAGAATTTATCTTGCAGATCCAAGAACAAGAGCTCAAGATTTCAAGCCCAAGGGACGCGGATAAATATTAAATAGTGAAAATAGTAACGTTACTTCGTGTAGTGTTACATTTCACTTGGTGTAGCCCCTTGGAGGGTTGGTTTCGAGACTCTTCATGGTTGGGGACTCTGTGGTGGTGTACCACCAACCTGGACCTCGGCTCTTGGGGTATGTAGAGGCTGAGAACCATCTCCCTCTCGAAATCTTCTTGCTAAGTTTGTACTTCCAAGACTATAGTGGCTGCTATACCTTCTGCCAGTCAAACCGCCATAGCGTCGTCAAATCTTCATGGAAATTCATGACTCAACTTGCTGCTGATAGAAGACAGCAACGCACTCCAGATCCAACTTACAGATCACCGTTTGACTCAGCCAGCAGATCGTTATCAATATTTTAAGCCGTCTGACGGAAATCCGACTGTGCTCTCTATCTCTCATTATAGGCACATCTGAGCCTATTGTGACTATAACAAGTGGTATCAGAGCCCCTTGGAGCCGTCTCGACCATGCCTAGACCTGAGGAAGGGCGTGGCAGAGGTGCTGGAGGCAGAGAAGACGCCTAAGCACAAGGTCAACACCAAGATCCACCCGTTGCTCCGGTGCAACCTAGCCTTGGACCCTCTAGGGATGAGCCTAGAGTGTTTGGCCTTGACAAGTTCAACGGTGACAACTTTGCTGAGTGGTCCTTCAAGATGGAGAACATCTTTGACCACTATGATCTGCTGGAGGTGATGGAAGGAACGGAGAAGCGCCCCGAGAACGACCCGGAGAAGAGCCCGTGGGTGCGGAAGAGCGCACAAGGCTACCTTCTACTTGGGCAAGCGTTGGGGAGCAGCCAAATCCGTCACATCAAGCCTTTTCAGCGTGAACCAGCAAAGGGACCAAAGGCATGGGCTGCTCTCAAGGGTGTACACGCTCCTGCAACAGCGGCGGTGGCTGTGGTTTTGGAGCGGCAAATGGCGGCACTTCGAATTGACGAAGGCGAACCGGTGGAGGAAGGAGTGCAGAAATTCTTCGACTTGTTGACACGGCTCGAAGGAGCTGACCTGAACTACAGTGACCTTCAAAAGAAGACCAAGCTGCTGGCCTTACTTCCGTACTCATGGTCCTCGCTCATCATCAACCTGAATCGAGATCTGCCCCGTCTCTCACTCGAAGATGTGAAGTGGGAAATCTTACAAGAAGATTTCCGCCGTCGCGAATTGGCGGGTCCCGATGGTGCCGGAGTTGCAAGCATGGGCCGTGGGCACGGCCGTGGAAGGGGCAGAGGGCGAGGAGGAAGATTTGGCAGTAGTAACTTCAATGGAGGCCGTGGTAATGGAGGATATGGCAGCAACAACAACAACAATGGCTACGGCGTGGGCGCGGTCGATTTGATGGCGAATGCCACTTTTGCCACAAGACCGGCCACATGTGGAGAGATTGCTTCAGATTGCCTGATGGATGGACCCCTTCTCAAGGCCAAGAGGGCAGAGGAGCAAGGGGAGGAAGAGGCAGAGGTCGTGGAGGCCGTGGTGGTCGTGGAAGCGAAGCGGCAAGCATGAAAGGTGGAGACTACGACAAGGACTCGAGTGAAGATCGATACCCGGGCCAATTCTTCTTTGTCTCCACGCAAACGGCAGCTGCAGCAGGAGGTGTGGAAGGCTTTGAGGAGCCAGCTACTGTGGGAAAGGTCACCCTTCACTCTCTGGACTTGTGGGTGATCGATAGCGGCGCCACCTATAGCATGACACCTCGTGCGGACTTGCTCACCGAACTCGAACCGTCGCCGGTCAAGCATGTTACATCGGCTTTGGGGCAGCGAGCTGAGGTGAAGGGCATGGGCAAGGCCATGTTCAAGGGTGCTGATGGGAAGATGGTGGGCCTCAAGAACGTGCTTTTGGTGCACAACCTAGCAGCCAGCCTGATTTCCGTTCGGTGTTTGCAAAAGGCCGGCATGGACACATCTTCCAAGGGATCCAAAACCTATACCGCAAGGCTTGGTGAGCGGAAGCTTTGGGACCTTCATGAAGACAGGGACATCTACAATGAGATGTGGCAAATCCCAGTGGTCCCCATGCCTAAACAGAGGCAAGTGGCAGCAAGCGTCAGCACCAAGCGTGAAGCGGTTGGTGGCGGTGATCACGGAAAGCAAAGTGACACCAAGAGTGACTCGAAGGAGTGCAACCTTGGAGAGACCAGCAAGGCGTGTGAACCCAAGGAGAATGGTGCAGCAGCCAAAGGTGGTGGAAATGAGGAGGAGAAGGCTAAGATCAACAAAGCAGCAGCGGCGAAGGAGAAAGGAGAGAGCTTGTGGGGCACAATTGCGAGTGCCGCTTTCTCCAACCCGACTTCCGCTACGGGAGAGTGTGATTGGCTGACCTTGCATCGGCGAATGGGGCATGTGGCATTGCCCATTTTGCAGCAGATTGTTAAGCAAGAGATGGTCAGTGGGATACGTGTCAAGGGGGAGCCCAATGAGGTGCTTGGCTGTCCAACATGCATGCAAGCCAAGTTCACCCGCTACCCGTTCCATAGCTCGGAGACAACGGCGAAGGCACCACTTGATGAGGCGGTGATGGATGTGGTGGGCCCCTTGAAGCTTGGAGCTGCTGGAGCAGAGTACTTCCTCACCATTGTGGACGTCTACACTCGCATGACCTGGGTGTATGTGCTGCCCAAGAAGAGTGACGTATCTGAGACGGTGAAGACCGATTGGTTGCCGATGGTGGAACGGCAACAAGACCGGCTTGTGAAGGCGATTCGCACTGACCGTGGGGGAGAGTTCCTGAGCAAGGACTTCTCAACTTGGCTGAAGAAGCAGGGCATAAGACACTCTCTTACCATGCCCTACTCTCCTGCAATGAACGGCATCGCCGAGCGTGCGAATCGGACACTCACGGAGACGGCTCGGGGACTTCTCATTGAAGCCGGTCTTCCCAATTACTTTTGGCCGGATGCGGTGCGGCATGCTTGTGTGGCCAAGAACAGAGCCTTGACTCATGTGGGAGAAGACAAATGGGTGCCCTATGTGGAGTGGATTGGAAGGAAGCCGAAGGTGGATATGCTTCGGGTGTTCGGGTGCATGTGCATGGCACTTGTGCCTAAGAAACTTCGGCACAACAAGCTTGATGCCAAGGCAACATGGGCCGTGCACCTGGGCATGGCTCAAAACAGCAAGGGATGGCTTCTTTGGGACCCATTTACCAAGAAGTTCCTGGTGAGCAGAGATTGCAAGTTCATGGAGAACTTACCATACAAGGAGTGGAAGGCGGAGAACCAAGCGAAGATTCGTGTGCGGCTTGGAGAGGTGAAGAGTACCGGCTCGGAGCATGTGGAGCTGCCCTTGGAGCTGAGTAGCAGCAGCACTATCACAAGGCAATCTCCTCAAATGAATGGGGATGAGGAGGAGGAGGAGGTGCAGCAAGGTGATGAGCATGCACCGTCACTTCCGCCTCGTGCTACAAGTGCTCGCGGGAACCAACCAGATTTGCAGCAACGCCATGAGAGCATCCAAGTCCCTGCAGCAGAGGAGGAAGGAAGGGGGAGAAGGAAGACTCATCCCCCCAAAAGGTTGAGCTATGAACGGCTTGGAGGACCAGCCAACTCAACCTTGACTGGTTCGGCCCTCATGCTAGGCGATGATGCGGAAGATGAAAGCGAGGAGTGCGCTTTTGCCTTCTTCTCTCCGGTGGAGATACCGGGGGAGCCTACAAATCCCAAGGAGGCTTGGGAGGGCCCCAATGGGAAGGAGTGGAAGAAGGCCTCAGATGAAGAAATGGGGAGCATCATCGAGAACGACACATTTGACTTGGTGAACCTACCTCCGGGGCGTAAGGCGATTTCTTCCAAGTGGCTCTTCAAGCGCAAGACCGATGCCGACGGCAACATTGAGCGCTACAAGAGCAGACTTGTAGCCAAGGGGTATCAGCAGCAAAAGAAGAAGGACTACAATGAAGTGTATGCCCCTGTGGTGAAGGGTACAACCCTTCGAACTCTCTTCGCCGCGGCGGCCATCAAAGGATGGGTGGTGAAGCAAATGGACATTGTAACGGCCTTCCTCAATGGCGTTTTGGAGGAAGAGACCTACATGGAGCAGCCAGAGGGGTACAATGATGGGAGTGGCAGAGTGTGGAAGCTGAAGAAAGCACTCTATGGCCTCAAGCAAGCCCCTAGGCAATGGTACATCAAGCTGCGGGAAGTCTTGGAGGCGATCGGCTTCACTCCCTCAACGGCCGATCAATCCTTGTTCATGCTTGGCGAGGGGGAGCAGAGGAGCTTCATGGTGGTTTATGTGGATGACATCCTCATATTCTCACCCTCCTCTGATCTTGTGAAGGAGGTGATGCTGAAGCTTCAAGACAAGTTCAAGTGCAAGACCCTTGGTGACGTCAACTACTACCTTGGGCTTCACATTGAGCGAGATGTGGAGAAGCGATGGATGCGAGTGCATCAAAAGAAGTACTTGGAGGCCTTGGCTGCAAACTTTGGGAAGAGTGAAGGTCATGTGGCTACTCCTCTTCCCTCAGGGTTCAAGTGTGTGAAAGGACCAGCGGAGGAAAGTGTTGGTGAAGAGGAGAGGCGGCGTTTTCACTCCTTGGTGGGCAGCCTCATGTATGCGGCCGTTCACACAAGGCCGGATGCAGCCTTTGCTACCGGGCAGCTGGCTAGGGTTGTCCAATGCCCTAATGAGGAGCAGGTAGCAGCTGGAGAGAGGGTGTCCAAGTACCTTGGCCAAACAGCAACTGTTGGACTGCAATACTCCGCGGCGGCACAAAGGCGTCAAAAGGGTGCGGATGGAGTCGAACCCGGGAGGCTCTTTCTCACCGCCTTCTCTGATGCATCTTGGGCATCAGAACCAGAGGATATGACAAGTGTGGGAGGCTTCATCTGCTGTGTTGGTGGAGGCCCAACAGCTTGGGAGAGCAAGAAGCAAGTGGACCAAGCATTGAGCTCGGTGGAGTCCGAGTACATGGCACTCTTCCGTGCCATAAGAGAGGTTGTGTGGCAGCGGCGTTTGCTAGCTGAATTGGGGGAGGAGCAGCAAGGACCTACCCCACTCTACTGTGATAGCCAGGGTGCTATTGCATTGGCTAAGAACCCGGTTCTTCATGGCCTAACCAAGCACATGAAAGTGAAGTGGCATTGGGTGAGGAGCATGGTAACCGCGGGTGAAGTACTACGTGAAGACGACGGCGCAGCCTGCTGATATGATGACCAAGAGGCTGGTCGAGCAGCAGCATTGGAAGTGTTGCAAGCTTGCTGGGATGGCTCTGAACTAAGGGGAGCAGATTCTAAGGCCAACAATCCGAGGGGGAGTTTGTTGGTGCAACCCTATGGCTTGCACTCGGCTTGTCGTCCTTGTTTGTGTGTGTGCATGCATGGCATGGAATGAATTGTGAGTCTATGTCATTGCTATTCAGTGCTTGTGTGTGTGTTTGAATGGTGTATCACAATGTGGTTTGTGTCGGTCAAGACATTAGCGAGTTTTTACAACTCGCATGTCAAGTGGTCGTTTGTGTGTGGCATGTGTTTTTTCTATTTTGTCGAGTGTGAAGTGTCCATCGTGTCGCAGGTGTGTGCAGCAAGCCCCCATCAACTCAAGAAGAATTTATCTTGCAGATCCAAGAACAAGAGCTCAAGATTTCAAGCCCAAGGGACGCGGATAAATATTAAATAGTGAAAATAGTAACGTTACTTCGTGTAGTGTTACATTTCACTTGGTGTAGCCCCTTGGAGGGTTGGTTTCGAGACTCTTCATGGTTGGGGACTCTGTGGTGGTGTACCACCAACCGGGACCTCGGCTCTTGAGGTATGTAGAGGCTGGGAACCATCTCCCTCTCGAACTCTTCTTGCTAAGTTTGTACTCCTAAGACTATAGTGGCTACTGTACCTTCTGCCAGTCAAACCGCCATAGCGTCGTCGAATCTTCATGGAATTTTATGATTCAACTTGCTGCTGATAGGCGACAGCAACGCACTCCAGATCCAATTTACAGATCACCGTTTGAGGCACACATCAGATCGGCATCAATATTTGAAGCTGTCTGACGGAATTCTGACTGTGCACAAGTTCTCTCATTTTAGGCACATCTGAGCCTATTGTGATTATAACAGGAAGATGGAAGATAGATGAAAGATGGAAGATAGAAGATGGAAGATGGAAGATAGATGGATGATGGAAGATGGAAGTTGGAAGATGGATGATGGAAGATGGAAGATGGAAGATGGAAGATGGAAAATGGAAGATGGAAGATGGAAGATGGATGATGGAAGATGAAAGATGGAAGATGGAATAGGGAAGTCAGAAGACGGAAGATGGAAGATAGATGGAAGATGGAAGATAGATGGAAGATGGAAGCTGGAAGATGGAAGATGGAAGATGGAAGATGGAAGATGGAATATGGAACATGGAAGATGGCAGATGAAGGATGGAAGATGGAAGACGGAAGATGGAAAATAGATGGAACTTGAAGATGGAAGATGGAAGGTGGAAGATGGATGGAAGATGGAAGATGGAAGATAGATGGAAGATGGAAGATGGAAGATGGAAGATGGAAGATGGAAGATATATGGAAGATGGAAGATGGAAGATGGAAGATGGAAGAGAGATGGAAGATGGAAGATGGAAGCTGGAAGGTGGAAGATGGAAGATGGAAGATGGAAGATGGAAGATGGAAGATGGAAGATGGAAGATGGAAAATGGAAGATGGAAGATGGAAGATGGACGATGGAAGATGAAGGATGGAAGATGGAAGAGGGAAGATGAAAGATGGAAGACAGAAGACGGAAGATGGAAGATAGATGGAAGATGGAAGATAGATGGAAGATGGAAGCTGGAAGATGGAAGATGGAAGGTGGAAGATGGAAGATGGAATGTGGAACATGGAAGATGGAAGATGAAGGATGGAAGATGGAAAACGGAAGATGGAAAATAGATGGAAGTTGAAGATGGAAGATGGAAGGTGGAAGATGGATGGAAGATGGAAGATGGAAGATGGAAGATAGATGGTAGATGGAAGATGGAAGATGGAAGTTGGAAGATGGAAGATGGAAGATGGAAGATGGAAGATGGAAGATGGAAGATGGAAGATGGAAGATATATGGAAGATGGAAGATGGAAGACGGAAGATGGAAGATAGATGGTAGATGGAAGATGGAAGATGGAAGCTGGAAGCAGGAAGATGGAAGATGGAAGATGGAGGATGGAAGATGGAAGATGGAAGATGGAAGATGGAAGATGGCAGATGGAAGATTGATGGAAGACGGAAGATGGAATATAGATGGAAGATGGAAGATGGAAGTTGGATGATGGAAGATGGAAGATGGATGATGGAAGATGGAAAATGGAAATTGGAAGATGGAAGTTGGACGATGGAAGATGAAAGATGGAAGATGGAAGAGGGAAGACAGAAGACGGAAGATGGAAGATAGATGGAAAATGAAAGATGGAAGATGGAAGATGGAAGATGGGTGGAAGATGGAAGACCGAAGATGGAAGATAGATGAAAGATGGAAGATGGCAGATGGAAGATGGATGGAAGACGGAAGATGGAAGTTGGACGATGGAAGATGAAAGATGGAAGATGGAAGATGGAAGATGAAAGATGCAAGATGGAAAATGGAAGATGGAAGATGGAAGATGGAAGATGGAAGAAAGATGGAAGATGGCAAATGGAAGATGGAAGATGGAAGATGGAAAATGGAAGATGGAAGATGGAGCATGGAAAATGGAAGATGGAGGATAGGTGGAATTGGAAGATGGAAGATGGAAGATAGATGGAAGATGGAAGATGGAAGATGGAAGATAGATGGAAGATGGAAGCTGGAAGATGGAACATGGAAGATGGAAGATGAAAGATGGAAGATAGAAGAGGGAAGATGGAAGATACAGTGACGGAAATTTCTGTCCACATGTTGGTCATGAAGTGGACAAAATCAGAACCCATGAGAAACCGAGCAGGTTTTTTATTTTCTGGTTTTAAGGTTCTAGTTGCTACTGTTATAGGCTTGTGTGACAAATAATATGTTGTCCAAAAAACACACCATAATAGAACATAGAACAACCAAGATCAGAAGAGGTACACTCGGACAGAATGTTCCCAGGATGAGCCACAGTTGAAATTATCAATATCAATACCGTGTCCATCTCCCCTTGGCCCTATTTCTTGCTGTGATCCTCCTAGGCATACTGTCTAACAGAGCTTCACACACGCCAGCCCCAATGCTATCCCAGGTCTCGTGCACCTACTCCCAAGTTTGCAGCATGCCTGTGAGGGGGTGCTCATGCTTGGCGAGCTGCTCGATGGGATTGGGGTCAGGGGGGGAAGAGGGCCATTGCAGGACGGCGAAATCTTGCTCTGCTAGCCACTCTTGAACGTTCCTGCACTTGGGTTTGGGGTCGTACAATGTACTGGAAATTCATGCCAGAGATGGTTAAATAATAGAAATCAAGAGCTTGAGCCACCTCGTCCTGCAATATGCTGCGATAGAGTTGGCCACCCGTGTGGCCATCAATCTTGCACATGTAACCAGGCACATCATACGTCATACATACTCAAACCATGACTTACCCACCCTCATGCTTCACATTCAACTTCACCTGATGCCCTTGGAGAGCAGTGCCTTCGCGAATCCATGCGTGGGTGCGGCTTTCCGAGCAATATCGAGCGATCCGTATCTCGTCCGACCTGATCACCCGCTTTAAGTCGTCCAGAGTCCAGTCCAAATGAGCTCTAGCAAAATACCGACGGCCGTGGCCGTTGCGTGCCGATAGTTGCGACTTGCGCAGTGTCTGCACGGCGACTAACTCAGGCAGCTTTAGAGCATTTCGTGCAGTACGAGGGTGGACCTTAACATCGTTATACGATTCCAGTGGATACACAGCCTTGATGCCCGTCAATGCGACACCTAACATGATGATGTGCACGAAGGTGCGCATGTGTCATGCTGAGAGCAATCGATGTCGACCTGAAGAGGGGACTGTTGGCCTAGCTGCTAGATGACTACTGCTGTGACTAGCCTTCATAGCATTTTTTTGGATGATTCTTCTCCCTATTCCTAGCGTATGTGCGATCTGTCGGAAACTCAGACCCTGGCGACAGAGTCTCATGATCCTCTATCTGTGATACAAAGCAAGCGGCCGCGTGCCTACAGGAGGCTCACGGGGTAAGGGGCAAGCATTAGCGAAAGTCTAAGCGACTTTGCTAGCTCGTGCAAAAAATGCTCAGCGGAAACATATCTAGTCTCTGCTCGGGTAGTATTTGTCCACATCGACCATCGAGCCTTAAAGCTTGTACTCGCTATTAGGCAATCGATATCTCCTAGCATTCGACATATTTACAGGTGCATCAATTGTTTCTGCATAATGTCCATAGGTTCCAGATTGATATCTATCCATTTATACTTGCAAAAACATCGCGAACTTGCTCAACAGTGCCATTTTGCGGACAAATTGTTCCGTCGCTGTAGTTGGAAGATGGAAGATGGAAGATGGAAGATGGAAGGTGGAAGATGGATGGAAGATGAAACATGGAAGATGGAAGGGGTAAGACAGAAGAGGGAAGATGGAAGATAGATGGAAGATGGAAGATAGATGGAAGATGAAAGATGGAAGATAGATGGAAGATGGAAGCTGGAAGATGGAAGATGGAAGATGGAAGATGGAAAATGGAATATGGAAGATGGAAGATGGAAAACGGAAGACGGAAGATGAAAGATAGATGGAAGATGGAAGATGGAAGGTGGAAGATGTATGGAAGATGGAAGATGGAAGATGGAAGATAGATGGAAGATGGAAGATGGAAGATGGAAGCTGGAAGATGGAAGATGGAAGATGGAACATGGAAGATAGAATATATATGGAAGATGGAAGATGGAAGATGGAAGATGGAAGACAGATGGAAGATGGAAGATGGAAGCTGGAAGATGGAAGTGTTGGTGCAACCCTATGGCTTGCACTCGGCTTGTCGTCCTTGTTTGTGTGTGTGCATGCATGGCATGGAATGAATTGTGAGTCTATGTCATTGCTATCCAGTGCTTGTGTGTGTGTTTGAATGGTGTATCACAATGTGGTTTGTGTCGGTCAAGACATTAGCGAGTTTTTACAACTCGCATGTCAAGTCGTCGTTTGTGTGTCGCATGTGTTTTTTCTTTTTTGTTGAGTGTGAAGTGTCCATCGCATCGCAGGTGTGTGCAGCAAGCCCCCATTAACTCAAGAAGAATTTATCTTGCAGAACCAAGACCAAGAGCTCAAGATTTCAAGCCCAAGGGATACGGAAAAATATTAAATAGTGAAAATAGTAACGCTACTTCGTGTAGTGTTACATTTCACATGGTGTAGCTATCATGGAAGATGGAAGATGGAAGATGGAATATGGAAAATAGAAGATGGAAGATGGAAAATATATGG